GCACTTCCTTCGGGCGGAGAAACTTTCCTGCGCATGAACAGCCGAGAACCAACTCGCATGTACTGCGGTGGTCCAAGTTAACGAAGCAGTTTCATATAGAAGGTTCAACCAAAAAACAAAATGTAAACTGTATAACTGTAACAGATTGTTATTCACGGAATTCAAAGCCATGCGAAGAACAAAAGACAAATGAGACGTTGGGCCTCTCATATCTTCTGCAGCCTCGTATTTTTTTCCACTAACAAGTCACTAACAACACTAAAAAGACACTAACAAGTCCGCGTCGCACCTTATTGTAGACGTGCTTGCAGTGGACACACCTCCCCTTCCCCCCACCTCTTCCTTTCCACAGTCAAAACTATCAAGAAGTCAGTAATCACTCAAAAAAACGACACTAACGCCGCAGTCACTGGGCAGACCACTCCTGCTTAATTAACGAATGCAAGATATGACCGCATGACAAGACTTGTCACACTTCCACACGCTTCAAGCGATGTGTCGTTACGACATAAATTTTGCACGCAGCATTGTGGCAATGTAGCACAAGCTTTGCTAATACAGGTTTGGCCACTTCCCCAACAGCTAACAATACTGACCGTACGTTCATTATTATTTAATAATTTCTTTCGACGCGTAAGTTCTTGGTTTACGATACTTTGTAGCTACAACATCTATAGCTGCCTCAAGTAACGCTATTCCATGCAAACAAACTGTATTAAGGGGGCGCAAGTTTTTTGGTTTACGATACTTTGTAGCTGCAACACCTATAGCTGCCTCAAGTAACGGAATTCCATGCAAACCAACTGGATTAAGGAGGTATCGTGTTGACGTGTTTTTAGCTAGCGTTACGACGACAGCGGTGATCGCTATTCTAGGCCACCATCTCGTCATTCCTGTAAACAAAGATGGAGCAAGTTCTGTTTCACAACTGGCCGCGAATGGAATTTTACCTTGTTTTATTTATTATTTATTATTATTTATTTCAGTTTTGGGGAAAGGAGTTCGTAATGGAACACAATATGGTAGTTTACCCCTCTCTTTACATCTTTATCTTCTTCACCTGTTATTGTTTTTCTTTAGTCATGTCGACCCCCCCCCCCCCCCTAAAAAAAAGACATTAAGCAGCGCTTTTCTTTCATGTATTATTGTCACGTACACGACAGATTCAAGCTGGAAGTATATTTAGCTTGGGGCAAGTGCTTGTTTTTTTTGGCCATTACCCTTTTAAATGAGTATCTTGAATGTATTTCACGAAAAAGACATTTATCTTCTAAGATTTCTAAGGGACTTTAGGTAACATTTCTTTGATGTTAAATGTCACGGACAGTGTGCATTGGGAACGCCGACATCCCATATAAGAAAATGCTTCACCAGTAAATGAAACTAAAGTGATGAACATGCAGACCATGCATTGTGCTGAATATACGATGCGTCGGATATAATATGTGGCACTGTTGACGGACAGAATGAGGAAAGAAAGAGGCCGGAGTGATGATATCAGAGACCATAAGAGAGGAGCTCTTGGCAATGCATCAGCTTTCACCGGGACGCTATTGCAGTGGACCCAGCGTTATTAAAACATGCACGTTCATCCAGTCCGATAGCTCAAGGTCGGAAGAAATAAGTTATGGGGCAAGAAAGATTCCAGAAAAGAAAGGGAAATGCGCCCTGGGGTAATCTTGCAATAAATGCACGCTCGTACACAATAAACTACTTTTCTCCCGTAAACGACGACCAGTGTGCTCGGAGAATCTCTACAAGTCGGTTGGGCTCCCTCGTTGCTTCTCCAACCATGAAATTTGTGGTTCTGACTACCGTAAGGCCGAGAATACGCTTAACTAACGGAGTTATCGCGGGTGCATTTGTTTTGCTTTCATTGCCAGCAGCGACCACGGCTAGTGATGCCCCTGTGGTTCGAATCGATTCGGGACTCGTCGCTGGGCAGCAAATCGAAGTAGGCGGTAGGCATCTGTACGCCTACCTTGGCATACCTTACGCGCATCCTCCTGTTGGCGATTACCGTTTCCGAAAACCAGTTCGCAATGCCCACTGGGAGGGAGTGTACAACGCATCCAGAAAGCCCACGCCCTGCCGCCAACTTCCAATACCCTTGGTGGGAAGCCTGTCGTTGAACTACTCGGGATCGTCGGAAGACTGCCTTCAGATGAACGTCTGGACGCCGTTGTCAGCGTGCCTGAGTAGTAAGGCTGAGAATTGCGAGAAGCAACTCCCGGTAGTGGTCTTCATTCATGGTGGTGGTTTCCAGTGGGGCGACTCGGCCCTGTTCATGCACGATCCGGCAAACGCCGTTGCCCTATCGGGCGTCGTATACGTCACTTTCAACTATCGCGTGGGTCTTCACGGATTCTTGTCCCTAGAACTTTCGGAGTTGCCCGGAAACATTGGCTTCTGGGACCAGAACCTCGCCCTAAAATGGGTGCGCAGGAACGTCGCCGCCTTTGGTGGTAACCCTAACGAAATAACCGTATGCGGTCAGAGCGCTGGAGCCATATCGGCAGCTGTCCAAGCCGCTTCGCCGCATAGCAAGGGGCTGTTCCAACGACTGATTTTGCAGAGCGGTTCACCCATGAGCCTCGTTATGGGCGACTATATAAAGGGCAAGGGTAAATTTATTAATGTAGCCGGCGCACTCGGTTGCTACGATACGAATAGAACGCTCGAAGAACAGCTCTCAGATATTATCGGCTGCCTACGCCACCTGGAACCTGCGGAACTAATAAAGAAGCTGCAGTCGCTTGACATTGTGCAGCAATCGTTTGTACCCCACGATAACGACGAATTCTTGCCTTTCTCGGTTGCGTCTAGAGAGCCCTGGAGCAAACTCGGCGTCAAGGAGCAGATTCTTGGAACCACACAGAATGAGGCTGCGATCTTCTTCCACCTAGCTGTCATGCAGTACCCAGATCTGGCAGATCTCTTTGTAATGCATTACCGGACGGTGTGCACAATGGCGATAACACAACTGTTCGGGCTTCCCATCGTACAGGCACGTGGTATCGTGAGCGCTTATTTCGGTGACAGCGAGGACGACATCAGCTACGAAGAGCTCCGAGACATCGCAAGTGAAATGCTTGGAGACGTACTGTTCGACTGTCCTGCGCAGCTTTATGCAGACACAACGTCTGGAAGTGGCGTCAAGACGTACCGCTACGTATTCGCGCACAAGGCATCGCACAGCGTCTTTCCTAACTGGATGGGTGTAGCACACGGCGAGGATGTGCTGTACACTCTTGGCTCGCTTCCTTTCCTCAAGGACAAGAGCCGATACACTGACCCGTTCGGCGATATTGGCAAGAGATTCTTGGCCACACAAGACTACACCGCCGAAGAGGAACGCTTTATGGAAGAAGTCGTTAGCGCCTGGAATTCGTTTGCAAGAACAGGGTGAGAATCGCCGCTATCCCAAATTTCCTATATTGTGGTTTTCTGTTGTCTCGACAGAATTTAGACATTTGTGCGTATAATTTTTGTACCAAAGAAAGTTTAGCAATTGAACAATTTCAGAACTTAATGAATATGGTATGGAATTACCATTAGTTGGAGAAGTGCTAGAAAAAATCATTAGTGCCAAACATTGATACATGTTCAGTTGTATAGGCACTCAGTAAAGCCGAAATATCCACTTATTAACTCAATTTTCAACGAGCTGACCTGTGACCCACTTGTTTTGCGATTTTGTATGGCCGACCGGCTCTCCTGCTGCTTTTCTGTCCTTTCACGCAATTTTACACGTCTATGAAGTAGCTTGGTAGCAACCGCATAAATGAACTTAGAGTTCGTCAAAAAAGCGGCACAAATACTCGGGGGTTACAAAATCAGAGCAATGTTATTAAAATTTCATTTTCTTCTTTTCAGTCGTGGCTGCATAAGCACTGTAAGAAATGATTTGTGGAACTCATGAAGTCAATTAGAGAGGTCATCATTTCTCAAACGCTTGCATTTGCACAATGTTGGTCAAAAATTAAAAAAAAACAAAAAAAGAAACTCGTGAGAACGTTTCAGTAATAAGGACAGAACGCGAAACGCCATGTCATGGCAGTACAAAAGAGGCATGGCCACAAAAACTGTTTTTCTTGCACCTTGAGCTCCATATCACGGGTGTGCACAATAAGTGAGTTGATTGTTCTGAAATATTAATTGAAAAAAAGTATTAGCTCCAGGTAAGTGCGGGTAAAAATGAAACAAAACAAAAAGACTGTCTCGTTGGTCGTCTGCGCTAAGTTTCAATTCTCATAATACCTTAATTACTGATGCGGTGTGACAGCGTGTGACGCTTAGTGTTTCAGTTGTAGTTTATTAATAATAACTCAAGTTACAGAGGTTGGCACAAACAAATATACAGACGAGAATCTCACAATTAATGTGTGCAATCGATACAGTGATCGTGAGTAAGCTAGACGTCAGTCTATCCTCGTTTATAACGGTTCTGTCAGTGTCCTCTGTCTTTTTTGATTCGTCCTTACTACGCTGGTGCCACCGTTACGGTGGCATATGGACTGCTGTGCTCTGTTGCTGACCCGAGAGCTGTCGTACGAAGAAGGCTTGAGGCCTGCGTACTGTGCGATTTCAGTGCGCATTAATGGTTTCCAGGAGGTAGACATTACCCGGAGTCTTTCGCCACGGCCTCTGTCAAGGCCAGGGCCACACAGGGGCGTTAAACCCTTCAAGCGACCACCCAACGCAGACTCGTGCTCTTTTCGCATTACTTAATGCTAATGATTCTGCTTACCCGAGGGGGACATCTATGCATGAATTTAGACCAAGAACGAGAGTTATTTTGGGGCACGGATCTTTTGCATACCGTTGGTCAAGACAAGCTTTAAACATTGCGTGCACCCAGTTGTTGGCTGCCACCGAAGGTTGTCCGGCCGCTTCTGCGTCTCTGACAAGGTCAAGCGTGGGTCCCTAAATATGCATATATTGGATACCTGTGTATATACTTTGCTCACACTGTTGTCTGTCTTGGTTCTGAATCCCAGGAAACCGGTTATTCCTCACCCGAACGTCGAGTGGCCCGAGTACACGATGGGGAATCCCCAAATGCTGATGCTCAAGCCCAACAACTACACCATCGTTCTGGACATGAAGAGAGAACGATGCAAGCTCTGGAAGCCAGTCCTCTACAAAAGGTAACAGAATATATATATATATATATATATATATATATATATATATATATATATAAAAGGGAAAGAAGTGTATACTTAAGGGATCGTTTTTCAGTGCATTAGCACAATAATAATGAAATCTAACAGACAATAATGCGAAGGAAAGCATAGGGGAGGTTATTAGACCGAATTGTAAGGTAAATATGAAGAAAAAAAAAGTGGGTGAAAAGATAACTTTCCAAAAACGAAGCCTGCGATATATATATATATATATATATATATATATATATATATATATATATATATATATATATATATATATATATATATATATATATATATATATATATATATATAGATGAATAAATAAATAAATAGTAATTCTAATATAATATGGCTGACGACTGGCGCTATCTCTCAAAGGAGCACATATACAAATAGATCGCGCGTGTACGGAATCTACACCCTATTTAGAGAGAGAAAAAAAAAAAACTTCGGTCTGTTTCCGGGGCGAAAGCTTTAAATGTTCTGTTTCGATGTTAGGCGAACTTCAAAAGATGTGATAAAGATACTGTCTAAAAAAAAAAGAAAGACAGTGAGCGTGAGTATAGCACGTGCACTTCGTCCGTTTCGTCATTGCCGAGTCACTCAAGTCAAAAAAAAAAAAAAAGCACGCGAGCGCGCGGCCTCTGCACGTGTCTCCTTTGATCACATTGAGTTCACGGCAATCGTGTGAAGGACAACGTAACAACAACAGCAACAACAAAAAACATGCAAGCGTGCGCGCTGCTTCCCACCTCCTTCTTTGCGCCGTTCTAGAGAGTAGCGGACCAGTACAAGGTGTGAAGGAAGGTGAAAGGCACACCGCTGCTGCAGTGATGGCCTTGGTAAGCAGGCATTTTCTATACGGGGAAGGCACGCGACGGGGAAGACGCGTTCGCTTCTAGAAATTCGGGGCTGTGCTGGGGCAGCTTGCTGAACTGTGCATGTTGTTGCACTCCTGTGGTATTTTGAAAACTAGTTTGCGCGGTGCATATACGTGATCGCGTAGCCTCACAACTTCGTTCAACATGACCATAGGCCAAACTTGACTTTCACCTTCACTTTAAACGGTTATGAACATCCCAAGAATGTAGTTCATGTGGTGATAATACCAAAGTACTAGCTAGAAAAGGCTATCAAAAGAAGAGCTTTAGGGCTACGGCTATACTTCTTTATGTACCAACTCAGAAAATGACTCGGTCTGTGAATCTGATCTTCAACCTCAACCATGGTCATGCCAGCGTACTTGAGGCGCGTCGGTGGTGCGGAAAATTGTTCACACAGTGCCCGCAAGATGACCGTAAGCTCTTGTTGTTGATGAGCTCGTACCAAATTGTCTCCCAATGCTTTTTATGCGGGCGCGTTCACGCAACCGTACAACAGCTTATGGTTGCGCAGTCGCTTCGTCAGAACTAGACATGTACGAAGGACGATAAAAAGCAGGGTGGTCAAGCCGTGAGTCCCACAAGTTATCATTCGATAAACTTCGCTTAACCGCGTTATACCGCGGCAATTTTTTAACAGTAGAGCTGCTAAAGGTCGAGATAGATATCTGCGGAGCGTTACGCCACAGAAATCGGGAAAGCGCAGTTAGTCACCTCCGGTCCAGTTTTCGAATTTGTAATTCAAGACAACTTCGCTGACTAAACGTCGGGGTGACTGGTTACGCAGTGCAGATTGTGGTGAAACTACTATAGACCGAAGGGACGAAATAACAGCATGATGCCACCAGCTCCACTGTTTAACCAGCCTTCATGGCGTCAAGTCAGTGAGGTTGCTCCAAATGACTAGTACCCTATCCTAGTTGCCAAGTAAAAGCTGACCTTTCTGTCTCGTCTCAGCAGCGAAACAAACCCCCTCGGACCTTTCTGACCATAGCTGCGAAGTAAAGCTGCTGACTCTGGCCAACAGATAAATGCAGGGCAGTGCCTATATAATGAATCGGCCCAATTAAGCCCCACCTTTGTTCTATAACCAGCACATACGGCGATCACGGGCATTGCTCGCTATAACAGCTACGCGGTAAAAAAAAAAAACAGCATTTTGGTCACACATTCTCAAGGTGAAACCTCCAGTTATTCAATTGGCACTGTTCTTTATGTGAATCATGTCGTACCAACTCGCCCAAGCAACTATACGTTAGCTCCAATTATTCGTTGTTTCTTCTCTTGTTTCAGCGACGAGTCTCCAAATGCAAGGAAAACAGCGAGCACAATCGATAAGACTGCCAAACCCAGTGCACGCACGCCCAAGAAGAAAAACACGCCCAGCCTGGCCGAAGACAACATGGTCTCAACGGCACCAGCGGTGATCCACTCAACTAGCGTGC